CACATGGAGTTTGAACATGTGGCTAATTGAAGAAGTACCGTCTCATTGACAAGCTCATGAAAGTTTCCACCTCCACTAACTTGTGGAAGCAAATCTTTAGCATTGTAGCGAGCTGAAACCAAATAGCAGAACCTAACTACAATAACTTAAAAGTAATCTCACCATACTGAGCCAACTGAACTTAGGCTGAAATTCAGTGACAGGTTTGAAGGAATCTTATGGTAAACAGCAGTACAGCAAAGCCTGGAAGCTTTTGTGTGAGTAGGAAATGTTTCAAAAAGAACAGGCATCCTCAATTTAATGAACCTCAAGTTTGTCACTCTTTTATGTTTTTCTATATGGGAGAATGGTCTGGAAAGGAATACAATTTATTTTATTGCACACTTCACGGATTTTGGGGAAAAACTGATTATGTCTGAAAAAGGGTATATAATTTTATAACTATGAATCTAATGTACAAGTCTAATGAACTTTTCTAATACTCTAATCTACATATTATTGGGGCACACTTGCATCTAGGATCACAGCTAAAGAATGCAACTGGAAAATGGAAAAGAAATTCCAAATGAAAAAAGCACAAGACTAGCTTTAAACAAATATTAACACAAGTATTTGCTTGGGTCCTTACAATTCCAAGCAAGTATTAATGTAACCAAATTTGCAAGACTTTGATTTTCTCTTGAGCCACGACAAATAAAATACTGTCTAGAGGTAGGTACTTGAGAAAGTAATATAACAGGTAGAGAGATGCCAAGATAGAGCTTTGTCTGAAATACTTCACTGTAATAAAATGCATAATATGAAGTCAGTATTTATCAATTAAGCAATAAAAAGGGATAAAATTCCAGAAAAAATTATTTTAAAATCAGCATTTGCACCAAATTTCTATATAGCAGTTTCCATCAGCATTTCTCATTTCATTAAATTAAAAGGTGACTTACATGGAGAAATGCTCAATGTATATTTTGTACTGAGGTTCCTTTCAGTGTCACCAGTTCTTCTAAAAGCCATCAAATTTTGCCCATTTTGCAAGCTTAAATGAGTGCAACAAATTAAACAAAGTCACCATCCCTGAAGGTATTTAAAAGACACGTAGATGTGGCGCTTTGGGACATGGCTTAGTGGTGGACTTGGCAGTGCTAGGTTAACAGTTGGACTTGATCTTAAAGGTCTTTCCCAACCTAAATGATTCCATGATTCTAAAAGTTCTTTTCCCCTATATTGTTCGAAAAAGATCTCTGTTTCAAAGTCTTTGGGCATGATTTTCCACTCATCTTTTTTTTTTTTCCCTATTCATTCTTCTCTACTAGAGGCAAAAAAAATCTCCCAAGCCCCCAGCTTGGCACAGCTGAACACATCTAAGACAGAAAAGAATAAAAATTCCATTCTGTTATACCTCTTAAAAGGTACACTACTGAGCACAGAAGGAATTACATACAAAATCACTCTTCCCATGGAGTGTGACTCAATACAAACCTGTGTATTTTTAAAGGAAGAGTCTAAGTAATCCACTTAAATACCTGGGGAGAAGTAGTAACTTTAGGGAGAAGCAGTATTTCTAAAAATGACTACAAGCATATTCATTGACAAGGACACGGTGTGCAGTCAACTTTACTTAGCCAAAATGCTTATTCTAACCAAAGGAAAAGAATCAGAAAAAAATATATAAAAAAATCTATCCCTTGAAAAACAACGGCAAGACTATACTTCAGGTCAGGCTCACAACTGACTTAAAAAGCTCGTAAAAATTTATAGCAGTAAAAGAAATTTTTAGCAGAGATTTTTTACTTAATTACATTAAATACACAAATGACTTTGTACATGTACATATACACATACACTCAAAAAACAAAATGAGTTTGGCAGGCTTTTATAGAAAGGAGCTTTGCAGAAAATAGTCAAGAGAAGTTCAGCCAAAGCGAATGTAAACTGCTTAGGAAAAATCAGTGGGAAGCAATGAGGTTCCAGCACCTTCACCCCCAAACCGTACCTTGGATTCCACTGCTTTGATCTCCAATCACTTGGTTTATCAAACTTCTCATTAGGAGATACAGAAGAAGAGACAAAATATTCGTTAAAAGCAAACTGTCCAGCATCTGTTACAGAGCAGTCAGAATTCTGACACTTCTACAGTGCTCAGAAAACACCTACAGGTAAGTGGTTCATGAGAAATTCCACTTTATATTTTCCATTTACAGGGACCTGTGGGAATTAATATGTCAGAATTTGTGCCATGAAGTAATTCCAACACTCAACATATTTTAGAAAATATTTTAGGTCTATTTCAGTAACAGAATACTCAGCAAAAAGGGTATGAGTTTTAATTTATTTTGCATTTTTAGAAGATACTTGATAGGATAGTGTCCAATATATAATAATTCTCTTGTAAATGTAGTGTCTGTTCTTACAAGAAAATGTAGTCTAAGTAATATATGCTAGAAAGTTAAAACAGGATGAAAACAGTGGTCTGATGGAAGTGCAAGTGAGGGGTATAATTCAAAACTCGACCAGAACTTCTGTACAGTAACACAGGGGTAATAGAGAAAAGGCTATTGGAGGCTGTACTCTACATTCAAACCTCTGTAGATCTTACACTTACAACAGGGATACTCTGATGAAAAAGAGATGGGGAAAAAGGAGAGAACTGTGAAGGAGGTTCTAGTTGAGTTATTAACCTATTTCATATTTATTTTTCCTTAATAAACAGATATGAATTTTGAAGTAGGTGTATGTGATAGAGAATTTCAGAAGTCTTGTTAGCAACATATTTTTACATGTAATATTACCTGAAAGAATATTAAATCCTGCTGAACTAACTTAAAGAGACAGTGAGAGAAAGGAATTAGCATAAGAAAATACATTTAAACAATACATTGCTATTATAATATTCAGTCTTTTATTTTTTCTCAAAAAGCAAAGCAGAGAAACCTGCCTTGTGTAGGATAAAAAGATACAGTGTATGTACATAGATATAGCTATTTATAGGTCTACAAGCTTAACCTATTTTAAAATTTCTCACTCAGAACAACAGCTTCAAAAACAATTGTTGGAAGGTATCAAGATCAGACTGATAACTCAGAAATTTCAGTTTAAGTACCTACTTAAGGAAGGAAGGAATAAACAGGTAATGGCCAGTATTTCACGTGTTTATTTGCCATAATATTCTAGGGTAAGGAGTTAGATGTTGGCTGATACTATATAGAGAGTGTATTTGAGCAGGACTTGATATTCATGAGAGAACAGAGCTGCGCTACTATCAGCAGAAGTACTATTTGAATTTCTAAAACCTATTGTTTTTCAAATTTTGAGGAAATAAAATAGAAAGGATAATAAAATAAAGGAAAATAAAGTAAGATAGAGAAACATATGTTGCAGTCAGGCAGTGCACGACCAGAAACAGTAGCCTATTGTAAAGGCTACAATAGCAGTTTCTGGTAAAAATATTTTTAGTAGTATTACTAAGCAATTCCTGTCTCCACTTCTCAGTCCTGCCCGCACAGTTCAATGCTTCCTCAGATGTGCCTCAAGTTCTACGTGGGGATCCATGAACCAGATCAGAGAATTAGTACACGTGAAAAAACTCCTTCAAAAATTAAGATAACTCTTACAATGAATTAGGTCACTGCTCCATTTCAAAATATGGCCCCAGAAAGACCCAGGATGAGAAACCTGAAGGGATGAGCAGTGAACATGGGGATTAAAGTGAGCAGAGAGATGGAGGGTATAAGTATCTTAAGTCAGTAGATATTCGTAAACTATGCCCTCCAATAATTAAGGCTCAAAATGCAAGTAATTCTAGTATTGTGCTCCCTGAGCCAAGGACCTGACTCTAATTATTGACTGACACTGAACCGCAACTTCTGTTTCACTTTATTCCACAAAAAGGGCCTTATTCTTTCATAAAGATTGAAACACATTTCCAGAATTGTCCTGGGAATGGGGCGGATTATGACTAAATTGATGCAGAAGATAATCTCCTGCCTCCCGCTGCAGGAGAAGGGATGGTCAGACACACCAGGACAGTGAAAGAATGTTTGGGAGCAAGACAGGGTGTTTTGTCAAAGACGACCTCCAGCAGTTTCTCCTAGGGAAGTAAAACTACTCCCGTATTTTTGAGCAGGGAAAAACTCTTTTTTTTTTTTTTTTTTTTTTTTTTTTCCTGAGGAACATAATGATATCTTTCCTAAACTCAGACATGGTTAATTCAGAAAAAGTGCCTGGATCCACATGTGGTTTTGCCATTTCTAATAGACAGAAATTTACAACAGAAGTGTTTATCTGAGAAATCCTACCTTCAGTCTTATGGAGAGTACTTAAAAAGATGGCTCCATACACCACCTGACTTTCCACCTAGAGGGCTGAACTAGTGGCATCAGCCACAGTAGAATTTAACACCACAGCTGTAAGGAATTTACAACAATATTTACATACAGGATTCAGCAGGTGCACCAACAAAACCAGGTGAATATGTCAGAAGGAACTTGAAGAACTTTCAAGACTTTATATCTATGGAAGACTCTCTCATCTGCTTTCCATACGGCAGCTTTCTGTTATATAGAACAATAAGGTCAATAAAACTATGCCCAATTCAGTGGGTACACTGCTCTGAGAAGGGAATGCCTGATTTTACTTTTGTGATAGATGAAAGAAAGAACAGGTCTAAAATCCTGAAATAAACAGAAAGCTTCAGTCAGCTGGAGACATCTTGTCATATACTGATTGTGTATTAACACAGTTAACCCATGGCCACAGTTAATACACACTGCCAGGATATTTTCAAACACTGGAATAAAAAGAGCAAGATTTTAATCTGAAACAGATATCTGAGAACCATAAAATCCTGAGTAGCTTCATGGACAATCTAATTCAAATCTGAAGCCTGTAAAATAGCAGGAAACCATATATCATGAGATGATGGAGGGTAGGATTCACAACACAGGGCTACAAAAACAACATTAAATATTGGGGCAGAGGTACACACAAATGAGATGTCCTCATACCTTGGACCACTTAAAGCCAAAATGGTTGACCTCATGCACTGATTCATTAAACAGCTTCAGACAGGCAGTGAAGTGGCAGAATGGTAGAAAGCAAGATAAACAGAAGAGAGGAAAGAAAAAGCATGCAATTAAAAGCAAATTATAAACAGTTTGGACAACATTAACATTTTTAAAATCACAATTATCATTCATACTTGGTCTAAGAATGATCCTAACCTATCATTGTTTGTATAAACCAAAGGATTTGCCATTAAAATTGTATAGAAAACAGAGCCTTGCATTTTAAAACTCTAAGGCTATCTAAGGCTGTCTTTCACAATTCTACAAACAACCTCCATAGAACATAAAGAGGACTTTCTTTTAAAGTAATTGAAGGTGTATGAACTGAAAAGCATTTGAAGGGAAGTCTCCTCACCTTGGAAAAACAGCTACTTGTCATCACTCTATGGTACTTGGTTGTATTTAATTGATACCAAAATAAAATTCTCTTGAATAAAATGGGGTAAAACAGCTCTCCCAGTGCTGACTGGAACAAGACACTCTAGTTGCTTTTCCTTCATGATGTCTTGTTGGTCATATTTTAAAAACTACAACTGGTCAGAGCCAGTAGTTTAGTTACTCTGTTGGAGTAAGACACTGCTGTCAACCAGTGATGGTAGAGATGCTGACTTTTACCTCTTCTGATCCTGCTGCTTTCAATCCAGCCTTTTTTCTTCTGTATACACCACTACATCCAAAATAATTTATTTTTCATGATACTGTTGCCCACCATATTCCACAAATCTTTTCCCACAAATCTTACCTGTCTTGGCTCTCTTCCTCTCCTCTTAATCTCTCTCACTAATCCTCAAGGCTTATTGAACCTCAGGCTGCACATTTCCCAGCCTTGCCACATCTTTCAGACTCCCTGTTCACCAGCTATTTCCCTTTTTCACCAAGCTCTGACCATCTGATCTCATTGTATGCCTCTCATCAGGTTTTGCTGATGAGTTCTTCTGAAAAGCCACCTCACTGCCAAACTTGAAATTCGTGCATGTTCCCCAAGCACTCTTCTCTTTCCATGTTCTTGTTTTAGGATGCTTCATGTATAAATAAAACCTAACTTCTATGACAACAGTTCACTATTTTACTTACCCAGACTTATCACTTCTCCTCTCCATAATAAACCTGGTACTAACAGCTCACAATGGTGAGACATCTATGAGGAACTCATGCTCAACCTGCTAAAACATAGTCCTCCTTTCCATCCTGTGACCGAAATCTTCCTAACTACTTCATTTCTTTTCATCAGGAACAGAACTTCCATACTGCTGTATTTGTGAGATATGTATTTTCCTTTCCAGGAGATCTAATCTTTGATGTGGTATTCACTACCTAGTTAACATTTCTATTTCATGCAATTTTTTTAAAGGCTACAAGAAGTTCAGAAAGAAGGCATTCTTGAAAGTGATTTCCATAACACTGTCTAGGATCTTTGGGTACAGCAACTAGAATTATCCTCAATACATCTATCAGCAAACAGCTGAACTCAACTCTAGTATAAAGAGAAACAGTTGCTTTCTTCCTGAAAACTTGGATTATTACTAAAATATTTGTAACTTCTTTTTCGTTCAAGTATGTGACATAAGAACACAAGTTGGAAAAAACCTCTTGTAACAATTTAAAGCACACTTAATCAGAACATTTTTATTTAAATAACAAAGAGGTCACTCCATTGCAATGCAACTGACCACATGGTCCCTCTTGCTAATTATAGTCAAACAAGGAACAGTGAAAAACACTGATAAGGCTCACAAGAAGCACAGTAAGAATGCCAGGTTCAGCTTCTGCTTTAAAGGCTTTATCAAAACCTCACGGAATTTTATTCACTACTTATGGTATGTTTTCTTGATGATTACTTATGTGAGTTAAAATCAGGCACATTCATGTTTCTTCAGAGTATGTCATCAGTGGCACAGAATCAATTAATGCATAAAAGTTTACACTTGTGGCTTCAACACACAAGTGTGTATTTTCTCTGCATCTGCTTGGCTCAAGCCAGGGGATTTGTCTGTATCCAGTTGTTTTGCAAGTGCAATGAGACTGTGGTCCATAAACACAGTGATCCTAATAAAAAGCATTGTCTTTCAATACATTCAGTGAACAACACAGTGAACCTAAGTATGCTTAACACACAAGAAGATAGGTTTGACAGGCAAGGCAGATCAGATGAGCTGGTACTTAAAAGAGTATTTTAAAGCCCAAGATACCTTACATTTCTTTTTAATTTCAAGAAAATCTTACCTATGAAATACAACTTATCATGAAGGCTTTGCAGGTTTTATGAGTTCTGTTACCTAATGCTGGAACAGAGATACAAGATCATCAAACAAAACCAGCTGTGTTTCACAGTAAAGGAGGGAAAATAGTACTTCATTGTCTGGTTACTTTCCTAAGAAGACTACCAGTGACTTTATGAGATTGCAGACCTGTTTCTCAGCATTGATCCTGGCTGACTCCTCTTGTGCTAGCACCATTTCCCGCTCTGCAGTTATCTGAACACTTTCTCTGAGTGCCTCTTCCAATTCTTCAATCCGATCATCCTTTTTACGTAGATTGTCCTGGAAAATGATGGGAGACTAGGTGAAGACGACTTGTTTGGAACTACAGCCTTTTTATCAAACAAGTTTTAGGCCAACCAAAATCTGTTTCTCCCTCCCAAGGCACAACTTCAGGCAAATTATCTTCACACAAAGGAAAGATGAGGTGATGCAAGAGTAGGAGGAAGAATATAGTAAAAAGAAGGAGAAAGCTAGCAAAGCAGGACCTCAAAGGAAGAGTGCTTTCCCTCCGTGTTGGACATATGACAGTCCTGCCAGATTAGACAGCATAGATAAGCAAGGGTTGTTGGTAAATAAAGATTAGTAAGCAGTTCCAAAGAAGCATAGAAGCCAGAATTGGTGGGAAGGTAGCAGGCATTCAGCATTGTCCATTTGCTCACACATCCACCAGCAGGTGTGGTAAGAAGGGAAACATAGCGCTGCAGTTTGGAATTTGCCATTTCCAGGTTAAGGGGGAGAAAAACAAACATTAACCCAACAAAGTTTTCCATCAGATCAAGTCTTTAAGGAAGTTTTTCATCAAAAATTCTAGGAATTATGAAGGGTTCATCTGGGCTGTCTGAACCTCAGACATTCAAGTATTAAGACTCCCTTAAAATTTATTCTTTGCTTAAGAGTATCTTCACAGTTGAAAGTTCAGATGTCCTACATATATTCAAAGACCACTGAAGAAAACTGTATTGCTCCTCAGAAAAGATACTGTTTTACTGGTTTATACAAACAGTATAACTTAAAAAATTCATGGTATTGTTATTTGTAAAGGAAAACCTCCTTACTTGAATACTTATAGGAAAATAATGGTGTATTTCCTGCTTGTGCTGTAGCAGCTTAGACAAAAGACTGCAAAGCAGGCTGTCCTGACAGGTACATATGAATGACTCAGACCATGGCTGCTTAACAAATCCATCAGAAGTGAGCAGCTTGATGGAAGATTTCTGCACTTCTTGTCCTGTAGATTGGTTTAGATTATAGGTTTCAGATGAGATATCAATGCACATTGAAGTTACTATATGGGATTTTTAGTCATCTCAGCAGCAGTGGAAGAACCAAAAATGTTTCCCTTTGTTTTCTGCATTTTGTTTTTTTCAGATTTACCCCTTTGCCTTCTGTCCTTTTGTATTTAGGACTGAAATTTTCCACTGTTTCTCTGAAAGCGTTTCACACCATATAAAGAAAAAGGAGAAAGATGACTGACTTGGAAAAAATTTGACCTTGCAACCTTCATCATGCAAAAATTAGTCATTGCAGTTTAAAGAATGAACCTGACTTATTCCTTAATTCCTGCTTTCTAGGACTTAGGATACATCACCAAGGATACTTCTTGTATGAACACCATTTCTGGTAGTCTCAAAACTTCCACATTCAACGAGAGTGTTCCAGCAGAGATGCAAAGCTTTGTATCAGACCAGTGTGAGACCTCTGGCACCACTGCCCTTGTGTAGAGAAAGGCTAGCATTCAACCACTAGCACAGGCAACCATATTTGTTGGGCTTTGCAGGCAGAGGAGTTTTCTGCTGATGGTTACTTTCCAAAGTGGATTTACAGGGCAAGTAATTGCTGATTTCCAAAGAATCAAATGGAGAAATCTTAATTTTGAAAATAGGAGTTGCAGAATATGTTTTCATACTTTTTGAATCTTTCTGAAACACTGATAGTATCTTCCAAAACTACTGTATGGTTATGATTACCATAACCAAATACTCATCAAAAAGATGAATAACAAGTTTACAAAAAACTCCACACAGAATATTAACCATGCCAGACATGAAAACTATTTACTTGCCTATCTGCATTACACAATAAATATCACCCATACTTCCTGATTATTATTCATGGATAGCCAAGGGAGTATGGTAGTGTAGCTCTCCATTTCAAACAACAGAGATGGGAATGGTTCATGTGAACAGCTGCATGTAAAATGGAAACTGCTTTAAAATAAGAATGCAGAATAAAACATTTTAACACATAATGTATGTCCACTCTTCATCCCAGGCAAATACTTAAGAGCTGAATCCAACACTGTATTAACCTTGACACTGTACAGTGCTCTATTCAGACAGGTGACCTCTCGAGGGACGGGAGGAAGAGCAATTGGTGGTACCAAAACTGATCAAGACAGTGACACATTACCTGCACTTGAAAAACCTATATTCATAGATAATTACTTTTCCTAAAATAATATGCAGACTTTTACATATACGATAGAGGGTTGCAAGTTAAAAAAATCCAGTGTTGACTTACAAACAACTGCCTAGAAATTATGATCTCCTAACTTTAGTTTAATACTAATAACCCATTCTGTAAGGAGAGATTAGTTACAAACTATCACTTTCTCAGACAAACCTAGTTAAAAGATGTGCAAGTTTACTCTTGTAACCACGTCACAATGTGTGTAACCACCTTACCAAACCACACCCATGTCTGGCAGGATAGCAGATTGTTGCTTAGCCAGACAACATCTCCACTAGTGCAGAATAGTCTCAAGACACTTTTAAATAAATATTTTGTTTCTAGCTCCCTGATTCATGACTAATTGATTAGCATTTGAATTATTATTTTCTTAAAATACAAGCTGCTGTTTCAAACAAAACATACTGATAGAGAAAATAGTAAATAAAAGTGAACCAGCATTTGTGTTTTAACACAGCAGCATGTTTTTCCCATTGTTTGGTTCTAAACTCTGAAACATGACAGGCTCATGCTTACCTTCAACCTGTGCTGCTGCTGCTTTCCTCTTTTTAGTTACATGAATTATTCTATCTTTATTGAGATAAACAACTCTGTTGAAAAACTTCTGTTAATTATGACTACAGTTATAACTTTTTCCTGCAGTGACTGATCCTCTGAAGTAGTGGACTGGAGTATAACTTGAGTTGCCTCATATATACATTAGAACATGGCACTGAGGGCAGATTTATCTTCCTGTATTTTGATAAAATTGCAGAATGTTAAGCAGTGGCAGTCTCTTTTCATGAAGCTTATACGAATGACTGTTCAGAAAGAAAAAAAAAAAAAATTACTTACCTGTACAGTAACTGGATTCTTCAAGATGTATTACGTACCCAAATATCTCTGTGACCCTCCCTCCCTCTCCTTCTGAGTCCCATATGCATGAGATTCCACAGCAGAGATGGAATTAAATTGGGATAAAGAAGATAGCTCTGCCTTTATACTCACTGGTGGCAGCACAAAGAAAATTAAAAACCCAGTCAACAGTGAGAGAGTGCCAAGAGTTCAGGCACAATAAAAATTTTTGCTGCCTATACTATGATTCTGTAGCTGATTTGTATGCAAAACTTATTCTAATACGTGTCTGTCTGAAAGCCTGAAAGGAAAAAGAGGTGTGATTGGTACACATTTCTAGGCTTTTTCTTTCCCTTCAGGAGGGAAGTGGTAGGGTGTCCAAGTGATGCGTGCTAAAAGGATGTATCAATTTAATCTATCTTGCATTCATATGATGTGTAATCTGCCACAAAGTTTTATGAAAGTGCATGGAACAGGATATATGTTTTCACTGTGGTATTTAAGCTCAATTAAATCCAAGTTATCCTGGCGAACTTCTTCATATCTGTGTCTTGGACTAGACTCACAGAGGTCTTTATGGGCTAATTTAACTCTCTGAATTGGAACTAAGGTGTATTTGTCTATTTGACTATTGGGGGAGGTTTTAAAAGGCAATGAAATGCTTCTTTTAACTGTTAAAAGTATTTCTAGGACTAGCCAATCACCTATGTAGGGAAAGATCATTACCATGCAACACTGTAATTAATGCAATAGCACGTTTTACCTGTGTACTTTCATAGACCAGAAGGGAAGAACATGGTACTGGAAGTGTTTTGAACTAGGAATTAAATATTTCTAAAACAGTGAAATCATTACATCATTACAAGCACTTAATTTTGTGAACTGTTGCTCCTTCTGATCACTCATTTCCTCAAGAAGCCATAACCTAGATAAAAAACCTAATGACAATGATATCAGTCCATTCTAGACTGAACAAAACTTTCCCTAGAAAGAAAAATCCTCTTTTGTGTACTGACCTTACACTAGGTAAGTGGAACCTAGGAACTCAGGACTGTCAGCTGCCTCAAGGCCTACTTAAAGCTTCCTCCTTGTTACAGACTGTCATTTAGTTATTGATAGAACAAATTCTTCACCAACATTTGGAGGCAGACCACCTACAAATGCTAGGTATTTTTCAAAGTTAAAAAATATGAGGCCCTGATTAACAGCAACCCTACAGTTCATGCTGGTTGATTAATATGAAAAATAGAAATCTTACTAAGTTTCTTCCATGAAGTTCCCCTTGCTTCCTGTCTTTGGCCATAACCAGTGCCAAATGTGAAGAGGAAAATTTGGTTCTACTGTAGTCAGCCCATTACTGAGGAATTCTGGTTTGCCACCTCAGGAGTCTACCAAAAGATTTATTTAAATGAGAGGGAAATGAAAGGGGATAAAAAAAATCTTAGTGAAAACTTAGTGAAGAGGAATGCTTAATTTTTCACATTGTCTATTTATTCTATGTGCATAGTGCTATTATTGCCTGAAAATTGCATTGTACCCACTGTATAATGTTCAGAAACATTATACAGTATGTCTACAAAAATACGTGAACAATTCCAGCCATTCATAATTTTTTTCCTTCCAAGATATTTTATGTGTTGCCACTCAGGTGTGTTACTTTCAAAAAACGTTTCCAAAATATATAGCAGTTTTGTTGGACATTAGGAGCAACCTGAAATACACAGAGTTTGCAGTAACAATAAAGTCTCCTTATCAATACTGGTTGAATTATGACCATCATAAAGCTCTGTACTTCCAATATCCTTTTCTGCTACTGAAGAGGAATTCCACCGCAATCTAAATTATTTATACATTTCTTGAAAGAGAACAGAGAGGAAGGAGAAGAAAAGGACAGTTATAGACACTACTACAGAAGCCTAAAAGGGAAAGGCAGAAATGATTATTCCTATAAGAAACTGGCAGTGTCTCTTCCTGAT